CCAACGAGCAAACGCCAACAGAACCAACAGGAAGCTGCACATCGTAAACATGCACGAACACAAGTTGGCATATGCCTGGCAGCGAACACACACACACAGAGGACAAGCAAATTTGAGGCAAGCAATTTGAAACAAGTGCAGTTATTCCTTCAATCATCACAACAGCTGCTATGATGATGCTGGTGATGAGAAGCACATGCGTTTGCCCCAAGCAGCTGCCTCAACACACCAGTGAGCCAAACTTGCTGAAGCAGAAACTGAGCAACATACACACTTCCAGGACCGACTTTGATACGGGATGCCAACCATGCTCAGGCAGCAATGGCAGAGACGCAGGTTTTGGCAACCATGTCAAAGCGCAACGATAAAACACTTGGGGCGTCCTGCTTTTATCCCCGAAATCGCCTCTCCAAAGCTGCCAGTTTCGCGGCCGGCATCGGCGATGAGCACCGCTGAGAGCTCAGAACCGGGCCAAGTCAGACTAAAATCTGGGCGGCCCATCTTTTGTTGATGTGCCATTTTCGGGGACAAGGAACACCATTTTTTTTTGATTACTGTATTCTTTTTATGGGGTGGCTTTTCATTGTCGAAAAGGACAACCAGGATAATTTTTAAGGTCTCCTATCTTGAGACACTTTATTTTGTGCCACGACCGGGGAGGTTGGTCCAAACCAAGGCCGGGTTTGCTCGGACTAGAGGAAGTGCCTTTATGTTCAGCACGCGATGTCAAAAGGGATGTTGCCTTGGAGCAAGAGGACTGGTTTGATACAGCTTCGCAGGCGCAGGCATGCGCGCGCGCGTCATTTAAATAGTGCGTGCGCCTATCTATATAATATGTATATATATATATACATGTATATACATATATATATATATATATATATATATGCGTGTGAGCGCCACATTTGGGGGACCAGGCCTCGCAAATGGTGGGCTCTTCCTTGAAGAAAAGCACGTCATTGGGTTGCTGCACACACACTTCTTAGCTCAGTGCTTGGGTAGCACGCCACGCTATGGTGCTTTTACCCCATAGGCTGCGGCAGAGCGGCAATGTGTCCAAACTGGTCCCAAATTGGTTGCTCCAGCTGTCCTAAGGCCCAAAGGCGCTCATGAGACATGTTCACCTGCGAGGTCAAAAGACTGTAGGGACTTGAGGCAACCGTGGTAAGGGTTCCTCGAGCACCATGACGCTGGTGCGATCGGCAGGGAATGAGAAATGGAATGACCCCCCAAAAACCATCCCTTTTGTGGCCTTCTTTACGGGAATCCCTGGGTTCATTCCCACATTCCCTACTGAGCACCAGCAAGATAAGGAGTTTGACCATGACGTATTCGGCTTGCAGGCTCGCAGCGCCATCAGCGGCCGTTGCGTTTCGCCCTGAGCTATTTGAATTTTGCGTCGCGAGCGCCGGCGCGGTTGTGGGGCGCGTTTTTGCGCGGGCCTCACTCTTTCCATGTTTTGGTGTGGGACCTTGATTTGCGTTGGCCCATGATGCAAAAGCCTGCAACACAGACCGTGAAGTCAGCTGTAGCCAGACGGTTTGGCCTAGCTCCAAAAACGCATCAAGGCGACGCCTCGCACGGCACGGCATCGGCGCGGAGCTTGGAGTTCTCCCAATGTGTCCAAGCCCCATATGGGTCTGTCATTTTGTGAGGGGACCCCCTTTTGCTTGGTTTTAAAGGGGAACCAAGAGGAAAACCGAAATCCATTTTGGGGGTTCCAACCAAAAAGAAGACGAGCCACTTTTTTCGGGTCTGTGCCAGCCCGGCCAACCTAAGCGCGGCACACCCGGAGTTTGGAGGCCTCAGTCGGCCTCATCTGCCCGGGCCTTGTATGTCTCGCTGCATGGACTCCCGAGATGCTTCATGAGTTAGGTGGGCTTCGGGCGGAGGCTTAAAAGGTCTATTTCCCTCGATGGGTGCGGAGAAGCCGCCTTTTTGCTTCTTGGGGCGTGGCTTTGGGCGGAAATTTTCATGGCGATGGGGTTGTGAGTATGGCTCAGGTGGGCTTGCCGGGGACCCTTGAGGAGCAGCTGGCAGCCAAGAGTGCAAGCAGTGGGTCGTTGACGTGAATCCTCTTTTTTTTTTTTTGGGGGGGGGGTGAGAAATGGTGTAAACTTGTGAAGCGTTGGAAAGGGGGTTCTTCTTCACTTGAGCAGGATTGAACCTACTGTGGATGGTTGCGACATCCATTTCGCACCACTTTGAAGCCATGCTTGAAATTGCCTGTTGGTATTTACAGGGGAATCATCATTCCAGGGATTCTTAGGTGGTGCAGGATTTCGCAGCCATCCACAGCATGGAGCGGTTTTCGCGCCTTTCGGATGGGGAGCAGCATCGGCGGAGAAGCCAGGGATGCCTACGGTGAGAGCTTGGATGACTGCACCGAGCTCAATGGCATGCGAACGCTGAAGATCGGGGGTTCCATTCCAAGGATTGCCCCAAGATAGGCCAAACCCAAGGGTTGCCCCTTGGTTTGGAATGCACCACCTCTGGGCTTGAGTTACTTGAGCCAATCAACTGAGTGGAGCCTTGCTGCTGATTCGTGGGGGCAGCAGGGGCGATGCGAAGCGCGCCTGAGACGTGATGCCATATCCTGCCACGGAAGCGGAGCAGAGAATGGAGAAGCCAGGTTCCCAGGGCGTGCCCCACTTTGATTATCAGGTTTCACGTGCCTGTAGCGAACCACGGAAGCCTTCCATTTGGTTGAGAATATGTTTTATTTTCCCCTGTTGGTTTTACAGGGAATCTATCACTATTGGACATATTTTTGTTTTTCCAGGGGACTTAAGCAAATGGAGGAAGCAGTGTGGAATGGCAACACGCCCAAAAAAAATCCGACGGCAGGCGATGGCTCCTCAGAAGAAACCGGGCCATCACGGACAAGGCGACCGGCGACCAAGGCCGGGCGCAGCCGATGGATTGAGTTGGACCCTGCGGCAGGTCTTGGGGGAGGAGCAGCATGCGGCAGTGCGCGACTGGGCGGAACGCAAGGGCCTAAGTGCCCCAAAGGTGGTTCGTCCGGTTCAAGTAAGCTTTTTGGCATTTTTTAGTTGGTTTAATGGTTGGTTTTCCGAATTTAACCCACAGGTTACACTTTTAGTAGGGGATCTGAGGACAGCCCAGTGCCCCGAAGTCGGCTCGGCTCGCGACACGGCTCGCTGCCTGGAATGGGTTGCGTTGGCATTCAGGACGAGCGCGGGTGGAAGAGGAGATCAGCCGAAACACAGAGGTGGGATGCGTGAGAGCCCTTTGTTTGGGTGAAAGCAAGGCTTGAGACATATCGACAGACGCATGGACCTGTCGGGGTGTGTTACTCAAAAGTGGAAGATTCCCTCTTAAGGGCGGCACCCAAAAAAAAATCTAGGCATGTCCCACCCCCTTCAAATGGGTGTTCCTTTTGGTTTCCCCTTAAATAAACCCCCCAAAAAGGGTACAAACTCCAGAAAAGACAGACCCATCTTAGCCAGCTCGGAGAGGAAGTTCTTTGCTCCAGGCGACGCGCTTCCAATGTGCTGGGGCCTCACAGAGGGAGGGAGCGAGCGAGCAGCGAAAAGTAGTAGTGGGTCTCTGAAAGTGGTTTTCGCATGTTTAGGGGCCTCGAAAGAAGGACAATTCGTGGGCGGGAGTTCTTCACTTGGGTCTGTCTTTTGGAGTTGGTACCCCCCTTTTCTTCTTCTCATAGTGGCTTCAAAGGGAGACCAAAAGCAAAACCGGAGTCCACTTGGAGGTCCAACCTGAAACAAGACGAGCCACCTGAAATCAGCACTGGGGGATGGCACTCCCAAACGCCTTAGGCCCTTGCGAGGAGGAGATACGTTGAGCCGCCTGATGCGGACGAGGAGCGAGTTGAGACGAATGATGGGAATGGGGAGGCATAAGAACAGCCAACAAAAAACCCTTGCCATTTCATTAGGGGTTTAAATCCGTTGGGCAAAAACAA